AAAAACAAAACAGAAAGACGACGTTACTATGTATTTTCAAAGATTACGGTTCTCCACAACTTCCAGTGTATGCTTTTATCTCAATATAAACAAAAAAGAAAAAGAAAAAAAAACTTCACACACACAAGCAACTAGGTCAGAAAGTGCACTGATCAGCCTTAAACAGTTGGCTGTACAGTTTTTATTTTATTTTTTTTATTTTTTTTTACCCCATTATTTATTTATTGTTGTTCTCAACCCCACCGTAGTCGGCTGTCTCACACCCACTCAAATCACAGTCGATATAAAGTGCAGGCGGGAGGGAGCGGGGAAATCACGGCGGTGCATTCTTTTTTTCGATAGGTTTTCCCAGACTTTTAAAACTACTGTCTCCGAACGAAAGGAAGGAAAAAAAGAAAATGAACGAGGATTATATATATATATATATATATATATATATATATAAAAGAAGAGAAATTGAAAGAAGTGAGAGAAAGAAAAGGAAATGGAGAATGCAAATGAGAAATATAATAGGACGTCTCTCTCTCTCTATATATATATATATATATATATATATATATATATATATATAGTGAGAAGTAGTGAGATAAAAAAAAAACAAATCACTGGAAGCAACACAAGGACAGACTGGTTTTGCTCGAATGCAAAGAGAAAACAGACGAGGTTTCACACAAAGTAAAAATACCTAAAATAATTTTTTTCCGGGCAGAGAAAAACTTTGTAAGACGTGACTTTCAGAAATTGGAATCCTTCAATCAGTTTTATCAGCCCCCGCCCCCTGCTCCAGACATTCATCAAAAATGACATGGCATCGCCTATTCAGTATTCTATGGGGGGAGAAAAAAAAAAAAAAAGCCAAAACCTCAAGGTGAAAATGTCGCTAATATCCACGCACGTTTCAAAACATTTTACATACTTAAAATAAATAAATAAATAAAAAATAAATAAATTAAAAAAAATAATAAAAAAAATTAAAGAGTTGAATGTGCAACATGATGATACATCCCGAAGGCGGCCACTAGGCGAACTCGCCGTCCGAAGGCGGCCACTAGGCGAACTCGCCGTCCGAAGGCGGCCACTAGGCGAACTCGCCGTCCGAAGGCGGCCACTAGGCGAACTCGGCGGCCACTAGGCGAACTCGCCGTCCGAAGGCGGCCACTAGGCGAACTCGGCGGCCACTAGGCGAACTCGGCGGCCACTAGGCGAACTCGCCGTCCGAAGGCGGCCACTAGGGCGAACTCGGCGGCCACTAGGCGAACTCGGCGGCCACTAGGCGAACTCGCCGTCCGAAGGCGGCCACTAGGCGAACTCGCCGTCCGAAGGCGGCCACTAGGCGAACTCGGCGGCCACTAGGCGAACTCGCCGTCCGAAGGCGGCCACTTGACGGCCTAACGGCCGGAATACGGAACGAATAGAAATTGTTTGTTTTTTTTTGTTGTTGACTGCACAGTTTAGTAGGATCATTTGGACACTTTCTAATAAAAAAAAGAAAAAAAAAAAAAAAGCACCATGATGCAATTCACTGTCAGAAATTTGGAAACGACATGCTGTACTGCTTGGGATTCCCGTCGAAATCAACAATATACGAATATTTTTTTGTGTTTGGGTGTCAATCTGAGGACAGGGCAGAGGATCTGGAAAGAGTTGGACAATATATCCAATCAACATCATAGTTTTTGGAGTGATTACCAGTGATGGCGGCGTTGTGCCTTCATTCATTTTCCCCACACGGTCTCAGACTTAACAATGGAGGCCTACATCAAGTGCCTTTGGGAGGAGGTAGTGCTGCCTTGAGTCAAGAGGGTGGCTGTTGGAAAATCCTATGTCTAGCAACAGGACTCTGAAACCATGCCACACAAGCAGGAAAACCCAGTCATAGCTATCAAACAATTTCTGCGACCACATCATCCCTTACATATGACCACCTATCTCCCCAGACTGCAACCCCCTTGATTATGTGTAGGACACAGTTGAGCTAGAGACCAACAAAACTTGGTAAAACCAAAAATGAACTGCAGGCAACGATTATGGCAGCATTCACAAAGGAGACCGTCCAGAACAGTTGTGGGAGATTCTGAACTTGTCTGGAGGCCGTGGTTGAAGTCGATGGTGATTTTATTGAATAAATTTACTCTATAGTATTTCAAGATATTTTTGTGCAATTTTGGTAAATATATCTGTTAAAATGGGATGTCAGTATTCTCTTTTTTGCGTAATTAGGCGACAATTTATCCATAACACACACACTGTGTGCGCGCGTGCATATATATATATAGTTTTAAGGTGCACTACATCAGAGATAGAGCGTATGTAAATCTAAAAATCAACATGGAAGTCAACACTCAGAGGCTACAGGCAGTTTCATGCTAGACGCAATCGTCAGGCCGCCTGACGCATCTGAGTGTTTATATATATATATATATATTGAAGGTTTTCCTGCAGTAGGTTGTCATTTCTTCCTGCGATAGACTGGTTGCCAGCCTAGGATGTCGGACAGTAACAATCTGTTCTACTATTCAACCCATGGCTGGGAGGATTCATACTTTTCCCCCAAGAGTGAATTTGCACCCCTACAATAAAGAATTCTGTCAATTAACACAACGTGTTGCCTGTTTTGTGTCTGACTGCCCAATTTCGAATATACCCGGGGTAAATGTCTTTTTAGCTTAAGTTCCCAAATATTAAAACAATTAAATATGCAAAAAGGCAAGAAAAAGCTTCATGGAAAGATCTTGAAAATGTTCCATTCATTCCGTGAATTAACAGCTTTTGGTACTAAATAACTGTCTTGGATGATTTTCTTCGTATTTATCGGAAAATCTTCCATTTCCAAATTTCTAAATCCTCTATTTCCAGGTTTTTAGAACCTTTGGAATTTTGGTTAATGTAAATGTTTGGATTTACATCTAATTTCTTATTTAATTTAGAAAATCATTGTAAAAATAAGTTATTTTACATTTGTTATGCCGCACTTATTAATTTTATAAAATTTCGAAAAATTCTTTCTTGTAGCGCGTAAGGTTTATGTTACTTATAAGTACAAGTCCTTAGAGAATTTAAATCAGTTTTTTTTTTTTTTTCTAAACGTGAATTGTACTAAATAACAGATTACGACAATCTTCCTTGTATTTATCAGAAAATCTTGATCTAGACCTCTATTTCCATGTTTTTAGATGCGGTGGGGGCCTGAAACAAGTTTTGGCATTTGGATTTTCAATGCCAAAAATGGGTTAAAAAAAAAATAAAAAAAAAAATAGTCGAAATATGTAAAATGTGAAATTTAAGCTCTTTCCGTGCAGACAAGGAATTATAGGGCGAAACCCCTATTTTTGTTGAAATTAGAAAATATGAAGTTGTGGTTTTAATCTTTTTCAGCACAAAAGGTAACACCAAAGATTCACTGAAAAATGAGCAGACATGATGAAAAAATGCCCAAAACTTAATAAAAATCGCTTATGCCATCATTAAGAGGACATACCGAAGGATTTTTGATTATTAAATTATATTTTTAATCCTTATTTAGAACCTTTGAATTTGAGTTAATTCTCTTTTTTTGTTGCGTTAACGGGTTTCCATAAATTAGTATGGGAAATATGGGTGTCTTTGCGTTGAAAAACATCGATTTGAAAATTCTTGGAAAAATCAGATATTTGTCAGAATTTAATGAAACTTTCAGTACTTATTCAGAAATGAATAAAATTGATTTAAAAACGTTCCTTTTTGTAGGAAATATTGGAGTATATTATATATATATATATAACAGGTAATAAATCCGTTGGTATACAGTGTAACCCGGATGTAAAGAGAGTTGTCGGGACCGGAGAAGAAGTCTCTTATATCCGGGTTTCTCTTATATCCGGGTTTGGTCTATTTTATATACATTAACACAGGCTCTAATTTGGGACCAGAGAAAATCTCTCTTATATCCGGGTTTCTCATATATCCGGGTTACACTGTATATTCCAAGTGGATCCTAGTAATATCAAATATTAAAACTCATCCACAAAAAAAAACTCAATGTATTTATTATAACAGAACATATAAATTACACAACAAAACCCCAAATTACCTTATATGGGGGTGGGTATAAATGTATTTCAACTAACGAGAAGTACATGATTAGTCTTTTTGAACACCTCATAAAAACACCCATCTGTGTTTAAAAAAAAAAAATGCTTTTCTACGATATTTTAAACTTAAATATTCGTTTCAAATCAGATTAAATTTTAAATCAGTTAATCTTCCTCAAATAAAATTTCAGAAAAGTATACTTTATTTTTGAAAGATTTATTTTAATAAAGAAAATTATATTGTCTTGACAGATTTGTCAATATGGACGATTTTAGCAATTTCAAATATATATAATTTCAATCAAATTCACTTGGAAATTCAGCAAAATATTTTGTTTTCTAGAAATATTAAATTTAATCTATTAGCTTGGAAACTAAGTTTTGAGAAAGATTTTCCATTTTTAAAATACATTTTAAACCTTATGGCGTTTCATGTATCAATAATTGGTTTGCAAATCATTCCGAAGTTTAAATCTTAAATGTCCGTTTGGGTCTATTGTGCGAACCCATTGCAGAGAAGAAAATAACTTTCTATAGCGAATTCTATCTTTTGTGCATATAGACATATTCTAGTCCCGCTTTGGCTGGTAAGTGTTATTAAAGCAGTCATTGCTTTAATAGCCAGAAAAAAAAAAAACTTTTTTTTTTCTAGGCTGATTACAGGAATGTTCATTCCTTACCAGAAGGAAGAACAGACCTAATTTTTAACCTATTTCTGCCAGGACATTCTCTGGTAGCTGAGAGTGAGGCAGGCGGTTGGAAAGCAACCAAGCGTGCGTACACACAAGCATGTGGGGAGAGGTTGGTAGGAGAAGGTTTATTAGGGTGGGAGGTGGTATATAGTGTATGCCTTCATCTATCCAAGCAGCAGTAGGGGCCACAACTGGTTGGCGGCGGAGAAGGGGGTGGGGGGTGATAAAAACAGAAGTTTTAAAATATGAAGTGAAAACCAGAGTGGGTCGGTGGGAATAGAGAAGAGAGAGAGAGAAAGAGAGAGAGAGAGAGAGAAAGGAAGATAGGCAAAGATAAAGAAGAGGTAAGAACGAGCGAGCGACGGTGAAGAACGATGAGGATGGAGAGAGTAGAGAGGAGGAGGAGGAGGAGGAGGAAAAAGAGGCGACAATGGATAGTGGGGAGGAGGAGGTAGAAAAGGAGGAAACTGAGGAGAGAGGAGGAGGAGGGAGAAAAGAGAGAGGTGAGTAGGAGGAAAGAAAGGTGACGATAAAGAGCGGAGAGGAGGAAAGAGACGGCGGAGATGAGCGGAGGAGAAAAGTGAGACAAGAAGAGTGGCGAGGAGGGAGTAGGAAAGAGAGGCGACGATAAAGAGCGAGGAGGGGGTAGGAAAGAGAGGCGACGATAAAGAGCGAGGAGGGGGTAGGAAAGAGAGGCGACGATAAAGAGCGAGGAGGGGTTAGGAAAGAGAGGCGACGATAAAGAGCGAGGAGGGGGTAGGAAAGAGAGGCGACGATGAAGAGCGAGGAGGAAGAAAGAGGCGACAAAAAGCAAGTGGGAAAGTGATTTTAAAAGCAACCCACAACTTGAAAACAAGTCTGATACGGTGAACAGAATCAAAATGTAGCGCTTAAAAAAAAAAATAAAAATAAATTACAGATCAAAGCCCGGAATTAAAAAGTTGGGGGTGGGGGTATTTGGCCCCGAGCGCTATAACCCCCCATTACTGGAAATTTCAGAAAATGAGAATTGAAAGGAACCATTAACATCTGAAATACTCATCATACTGTAATGGCGCTTCCAATATCTGCAGCGAGAAAAAAAATAAAAATAAAATAAAATAAAAAATAAATAAATAAAAAAAAAAAATAAAAATAAAATAAAATAAAATAAAATAACCGAGAACATGGATGTAAGATTTCCGAAATTTTAAACGAATGCCGCAACCGACCTGGCTGTACCGTTTAGTTTTGCTTTCTTTAAAGATTCAAAACTGACGAAACAAACTGATGTAATGAAATAACCTGTCAACCCCATGACTGACTGCACTGTGGGTGGCAGCAGCCTGTAGGTATCTATAAGTCGGCGGACTGAGGAGACTAGCTGGGATCTGTTCCAGCTAGACTGTAGAACTCTCTGCCTTCAGGCAGAGAGGAACCCGGACAAGGCTCTGCCAAAGGGCAGAGTCTCGTTCAGGGAGGAAAACCAACCCGATCCCGTTTATGCGGGTTTTACGGGCATTTTTTGGCCTGAGCCTACGGGCTCGGAGAACTCACGTTAAACCCGGCCTTGTGCCACATGCAACCCTCGTGGTGGTGGGTGGTTAAATATACTAACTGGGATCTGCTCCAGCTAGACGGTCGAACTCTCCGCCTTCGGGCAGAGAGGAACCCGGACGAAGCTCCGCCGAAGCGCAAAGTCTCGTTCGGGGAGGTAGCCTGCCCCTGAGCCCGTTTATACGGGTTCGAAAGGGAATATTTTTGGCCGAGCCTACGGGTAAATAACGCCTAGCTGAGATCTGTTGGGTACGACTCGGACTTGCGCGAGAACTACCGACCTCCCAGCAGTAGCACTCACTACTGGATTGACATGCGACGACCTTGTGCATAACTGTTCTTATTGTACTGGTTTTTACAATAAACCTTTACTTATTTTATCCACCTTGTTTTTCGAGTATATATTCCTATTAGCAGGGAATATAACACAAACAAAAACGACTATGATACAACACAATTGGGAGAAGAAAAAGACTCGTGAGGATTGTGGAGCTAGAGCATTAGATAAGGGATAAAACTGCTAAGAGCCACAAAGGACTGAAAGCTGTGAAGAGCCATGATCGCCTATGTCCCGAAGAAACGCGGCATATAGAAAAAAAATACACCATGTTCGACGTTAGTGAAAACTCAGTTATGTCTTATGCGTGATACACGCTCAAGCGATCATGTAGCTTTCGATATGAAATCCAAGGCTATAGAACCCGGTCTGCCCTGCTATTTTACCCATAGCTGGGTGGAGAAGAGTATGCATACATTTCCCAAGGGTATTAGCACGTAAGTGAATATCACTTAAGTTATGTGCCATGCGTGATACACGCTTAGGCGATCATGTATCTTTCGGTATATGACTGACGATGCTGATTTTTTTCCAGCAATAGGTTCGCATTTCTTCTGCGCTAGACCAGTTGCCATCCAAAGCTATAGAACCAAGCATGTTCTGCTATTTACCCATAGCTGAGGTGGGGGGAGAAGAGGGTTCATACCTTTCCCAAGGGCATTAGCACGTAAGTTAATGTAATGGAATCGACTAGAATTCGAAGTCGGGTCACCGATTCCTCAATCCGAGCCGCTATCCATTACTCCACCGTGAAAACTAGTATTAATATTGTACTGGACATAAAATGGGGAATCAGTTTCCTATTGTTATTAAGTAATAAATCGATCCCCAACATAATATAATAATTTTGGATAAATATATTTAGAGATTCAAATATGAAAATCTAGTATTGTCAAGGAATTTATGTGCAGGTATAAATAAAAGGTTCTGAGTAACGAGCTGAGGTAACGTTGTCAGCATTTAAAATCATTGGCGATTTTCACTAAGGAAGATCGTACGTGTAAACACCTTTTATTTTAAAAAACAGAAAACGTTAATTTCCCCCTGAAGAATAAATATACTTCTTTTAAAAAATGTTTTTGCATTGTGAAATGAATAACTTAGAAACAAAGTACACGCAACAGGGTACATTAATCACTCAGTCATCAGTGATAATATACTAAGATTTTGGAAGTAATCAAGAGTCACTGTACCCCGAATGCGGCCCAATTAGCTTTCTGAATGGCATACCTCATTTCATGAGGAAAATAACGTTATTTAAATGTTTTTTCCCTTTCATTTTCACTTGTTCACTCACACACTCTCTCACACATATACAATGATTAAGTACAATGTTTCTTGAATTTTGTAACTTTTTGTTATATTTTTCCAGGTTCATCAGATCACATCTCCAGTTACAAAAGAATTAGGTTTCTTTTATTTCTAATACAATTTTTGTATTAAAACTAAAAGAAACTTAATTATTTTGTAACTAGAGAAGTGACCTGATGAACCAGGAAAAAAATATATTTTCTGAGGAAATATATTATAGCCATGGAAACTTAAGGTTATCTATTTCTTAATTATTTAATTAATATTTGCTCTGGTTTTACATTAAGCTCTCTGGATGACATCCTCTTTGGAATTATCCAAACGGATTACCAAACCCTTCATTACTTTACTATATATATATATATATATATATATATATAGTAAATATTCTGTACGAGCGTTGGTTTAAGTTCAGAAAACGCTATATTTATTTCTGGCTTTTGAGCCATTCTGAAAATGAGACGAGGATTTACCTTTGATTTGATACGGAAAAGCTGGGAAAAATATATTAACAACTTTCGACGTGAACTAAGAATTATAAAGTTACAGAATAAATATTAACGGCTGTTTTTAAAAAAAAAAGTCTCTCGTCTTCATTCTTTTATCACGAGAAACGCGAGCTTAACAGAAAAAGTACTAAAGATTTATTCTGTAAATACAGAGACTAAAGTACTAAAAATCTATTATTCAAATACGCACACATTTCTTTCTTTCGTTTTTGGATCTGACGGAGCCTAGTTAGGCGAAACGTGTAATCAAATCTAGTCTTTTGTAGACAATAAGGTTAACCTTCATTGATAAATAAATATCCACGCACATGCAAGTTACGTTAGAAAAGACAGGCAATGTACTGCGGGTAAGTTTTTATTTAATTTTTCTTGTCTTCTTATACTTTTCTTCTTTTCTGGACGTAAATTATGTAGAAATCGTCCGAATGTTCTAAATGTCCAAGCGCTTTCGGCTACTCTTTTACACATTATCAAGGATGATTTTATTTTTATCTTTAACTGAATGTATAGATTATTTTATATATGTATCTAGAGTTAAAGAACCGTTTTATTTTCCAAACACGGACAGCACATTGTGGCCATGTTCATAGTTGATGTTATTGTGTGTTAGTTTTTTTTTCTTTTTTTATTAAAGACTTCCATTATTTTTAGCCTTTTTACATGTGTTTGAGGTTATATTTGCATTATCAATGCAGAAAAACTGGGAGAATATATTAATAACATTCGACATGAACTAAGAATTATAAAGAAAAGATACAGAATAAATATTAACGGCTTTTTCCAATGACACTAGTCTTCATTTTTTTTTTTTTTTTTCATCACGAGAAACGCCATCTTAGCGGAAAAAATAATAATGATATATCGTTTAAACGTACATACAAATATATACACATTTTCTTCTTTCGTTTTTGGATCTGATGAAACCTAGAAAGGCGAAACGCGTAATCAAATCTAGTTTGAATGAAATGGTTTTGCATTTGTCAAATTTCTTCAAAAACTGTCGGGATTTTATATCCTATTTTAAACACACACACACACACACACATATCTATATATATATATATATATATGTATGTATGTGACAAAAATATAGTTTTACGGTATGCTACATTTGTTGATGAAAGTGCTCTACAGGGATAGAGCGAATTTAAATTTAAAACGGGACACTGAGATCAACACAGAGTAGTGACAGTCTTCTGTTTCAGGCTTGAACGACATCTTAAGGCCATGATGCGTTCAGGACTGAAGCTGGCAGTCGCAGTGTTGAATTCAGTTTCCAATTGATACCATTTTTATCAAACTACCAACGTAAACGTCTTTCTTTCTCTCTTTTATATATATATATATATATATATATATATATATATACACACACATATATGTGTGTGTGTAAACATACACACACACACAATATATATATATATATATATATATACATACACACGTACACACATGTATACACACACACACATATATATACACACACACATACATATACACACAGACACGTATACACACATATATGTACACACACATATGTACATACCTACCTACTTGCGTATTTTATAGATTATGGGGTGGAGGATAAAGAAATATGACTAGGAACACACAAGTAATCACTAATACGTTTTCTTTTTCTTCTGTTTAGTCCCCCCCCCTCTCTGTTCATAGCTGGTTGGACTGACGTTGTGAAAGGAATGTCCTCGCTACTAAATAATATAGCCAGTCCTTGTGCATGTGTGTACACAGTCTACACAAAAGCCTGGCAGAGAGTTTTTAAGGTCATATTTGATCGGCCGTTAAGGTCTTAGCAAAAGACACACGAGCGACTTGTTTGTACCAGCGCTTGCTCTATGACATTAATTCAAATAAAAACGAAAAATAATAACCCAGGCTTACACCTACCCCGGCTTTACTGTCGGGTGGGCTGCAGGGAAAGAAAGGAAAAGAATGTTGGACGATATTTTATATACGTATAATAACGAGAACTTGGGTTAGGCACGTAATACAAGTTAATTTTTCTTTCTTTGGATTTCTTTCTTGAATCTTTAAAAGAGAAAACAAAGAAACAAATACTATTGCTGCTACTACTACTAGTACTACTATGGCTACTAGTGTAATTAAGCCGGCATAGTTTGAACTTGTGGATTTTCTTTTTTTAATATGGAGACTGTAGTGTAAAGGCTAGAAACATAT